AGGAACAAAATATCCAAAAATGTCACAGTATTTTTTTTCCATTACGGCGGCGTGCTCGGTCGAGTGAATCCTCTCTGAATAATTACCCCAGAACTAATAGCCCACCTATGCAAATGCAGGCAAAGCAGCCCGGCATCTTATCGCTTTTCATGGGGCAGATTTATACCCCCGGCTGGTGGTTTATAATCCTCGCAGCCATGCAAAAGGGAAACAAATGTGTTTGTGCTGCACAAAATTCATCATTCAAAAAGGGGCCAGAGAGGAGGTGTCCTGGTGTAAAGCTGAGCTATATTTTGGAAGAAGACGCTTTGGGAAATGTTCTTTAACGGGGTAATTAAATGTTAGACTCACAATATTTCTTTTTATCTATGAATGTATTTTAGAAAGATTTGGGCTTCAGTATCAAAATGAATGTGTGGATATATCAAATTGTGTTTATTTCCTATCATTCCTGAGCAGAAAAAGAACATTTTAGTGCTTGAATGTTTTGCTTGATGCATTTCTGACTTTCAGAAAAGCCCAGTGGGGACAAAATGGGGAATTGGGTTAGAAATCCTAATTAGATTTTAAAAAACAAAAAACTACAAAACAAGCTACCAGAAACCCACAAAAAGGCACGCAGATGTCACAAAGCTGCACGAAAACAGACAGGATTAACACAAAGAGAGGCAAAATTAAGACCGGAAGTTCCAAAAATGACAAAAAACATCACAAACCACCATGATGTGGAATAAAATAAACACAAAAAGAGGCAAAAGTAACACAGATTACCAAGAACACCAGACACTAAACTGCCAGAAAAAAAGACATAAAAAAAGACATAAAACCATCACAAAGACACACAAAGCTACCATGAAGAGACTTCAAAGTGCCAAAAAGAGGGAAATTTGAGCCAGAAACAAAATAAACAGGCAGAAAAATCTCCCTGAGAGCCAATTTAAACATCAGAGTGTGAACTAAAGCTGGACCACTGCTGATTATCGGGCAGAGATGAACGCTTCTAGATTCGAGTTTGAGAAATTCTCCGGAATGACTGATGGAAGAAGGCTGAAAGGGAAGAAGAGCTGCTGAGAGGCCGTTACTGAGGCCTGCAGACATCCACCAATAGATGGACTTCTCTCCTTGGAGATTGTTGTTGGGTCTTGACAGGAGTCCAAGACCATGGTCTCTCACTGGAAAAGGGTAGAGTGCCTCCTCTAGGTCGGGGGGGATGTCCTTCCCCAAGTGGAGGAGTTCAAGTACCTCGGGGTCTTGTTCGCAAATGGGGGTAGGGAGTGGGAGATCTTCAGGGATGTCCTCCCCCAAGTGGAGGAGTTCAAGTACCTCGGGGTCTTGTTCGGGAGATCGACAGGTGGATCGGTGCGGCATCGGCAGTTACGGACATTGTAACGTTCTGTCGGGATGAAGAGAGAGTTCAGCCTAAAGGTGAAGCTCTCGATTTATCAATCGATCTACGTTCCCACCCTAATCTATGGCCACGAACTTTGGGTAAGGACCGAAAGAACAAGATCACGGATACAAGCGGACGAAAAGAGTTTCCTCTGCTGGGTTGGTGGGCTCTCCCTTAGATACAGGGTGAGAAACTCGGCCATCCAGGAGGAGCTCGGAGTAGAGCCGCTGCTCCTCAACATTGAGAGGAGCCAGTTGAGGTGACTCTGATTAGGATGCGTCCTGGTCACCTCCCCGGTGGGGTGTTCCAGACACGTCCCGGGAGAGGGAAGTTTGGTTTTCCCTGCTTGGGCTGCTGCTCCCGCAACCTGACCCCGGATAAGCAGTAGAAAATGGATGGATGGATTGAGTTGGAAACCGGTCCGAAGAGCTTTACTGGAAACTTTCAGATGAGAGAGAAACGAGAGTCCTCAAGCCACCTTAAGTGCTCCGAACACGCCATGGGCCTTTCTCTCTCCACCTGGTTCATATTACCTAAGAAGGAACTTAATCTGCTTCCATGCAATGTCATCCATTAAGATGTTCCGTTTCCCCTCCACCGGACATTTGTTGGTGCTTTCATTCAAATCTACTGAATCATTAAAGCTTGCACTCGGTTCATAACATGCAACGCTCCAGTCTGGAGCACAGAGGACGGTGCTCGTCAGACCTGTGCTTCCTGTCACGTGTTACTGATAGAAAATCTCCCCCAGGATCAATTCGAGTTCCCTAAATTAAAAATAGAAAATCACTGAGTCAAAAACAATCACGTTATGTAAGAAACTGACAACCTGAATGCCCCAATTTAGTCATCTGAGCTTCAAAAAACTAACCGGAGAGGATTCCTCTCAAACAGAAATGCTGCCAGCTGTATAGTCATCAGGACTGACCTCAGCTGAACAGAGCAGCACTTTCATTATTACGTAACGAGCGATGGCCCGATTTCCCTTCCCGCCTCCATCATATGAGCGGAAATAAAGCGTGTGGAGGGGGGTTGGGGGGGACGGGCAAAAGGTTGGGCACTCCAGATGTGGGTCAAGCCTGAGCCCGCGGTGCTCCTCCAGCGCTCTCGGGGTGAGAAATGGTGGAGAGACGCAGCGGGGATCGCAAACCCAGAGGGTTTTGTGTCCAACTCCCCCCAGAGAGCAGCAGCAGCTGGGCCGCTGAGCCACCTCCTCACCTGCCACCGGGGCTGAGGGGGTCAGGTTAACCACAATGGGATCAGGGACTAACAGACCTTTTCATCATCATGTTGGCCACACAACTCTGCTCTTACAGCTACACTGAGGTTTTATTTACGCAATGAAGGTAAAACCCTTCCCCAAAAAATTATATTTATTTATTTGCTTTGTGCACTATCCATCCATCCATTATCCATCCATCCATCCATCCATTATCATAACCGCTTATTCCCTAATGGGATCGCAGGGGGGACTGGAGCCTATCCCAGTAGTCAATGGGTGAGAGGCAGGGTACAACCAGTCTATCACAGGGTCACACAGAGACAAACAACCACACACACTCAGTCCTAAGGGCATTTTGGAATGTCCAATCAACCTAACATGCAAGTTTTTGGACGGTGGAAAGAAGCCCGAGAACCCAGAGAGAACCCACAGACACAGGGAGAACATGCAGACTCCACACAGAAAGATCCTGGTTCCCCTGGGGGACTAGAACCCAGGACCTTCTTGCTGTGAGGCCATGGTGCTAACCACCACACCACCAAGCCGCCACTTTGTGCATCAGTTAGGCCAATTTTTAAAAACATTTGAATAATTTTGATAGAAGAGCAAAAAGTCAAATTAACTCACTAAAGGATAAAGAGTCTCAGAGGGCAGGTGAATTTAGACATAATTTACAGAGAGCACATCAGGACAAACCTCATTCCTCTGAAATATGTTGCAAGAAGACCCAAACACATCATGAAGAACCTCCAGTTTTTGGGTGAGTACAACAGGCTGTTGTCTGTTTCTGACAAGTTTTTTCTTCCAATATCTGGACTTTTCCGTACGTTTTATGTGCTCATAAAAGTTACTTTCTTCCTCTCTAGTCGTGCATCACATTTTAATGATTTTGTGTCTATTTCCTGTGTGTTTATGATAAGTGCTTCCCATCTTTGATCTACTTTTTTGTTCCTTCAGTCATTTCGTTCCCTTTTCTGGGAAGTTTTATGTGTTCATTTTTTAATTTGGTCCCTCTTTCTGGTAACTTTCTTTTGAAATTGTATGTCTTCTTTTTGACAGTTTTCACATTTTTCACATTTCAATGATTTTGTGTCAGTTCTTGGAGTTTTGTGTCTATTTCTGAACACTTATAATCTTTTGCGTTCCTTTTAATGCAGTTCTGAGTGAAATGATGACGTCACTCTAATCCGAAGAGTTTAGCATGTGGGGACAGGGAAAGGGGGTTTGAAGAGATCTCCATGGGTTCAAATTGGGGTACGGGCATTTTGTTAGATTTGAGTTTCTCTGTTTAAAGCCTCTCCAGCCCTTTTAGGACACAAAGCCCTCACAGATAAAGCACGTGCTCGTGCACGTTAAACTTGTCAGACTCAATCAAGCAGCTTGAATCATGCCAGGCAGGAACACATGCCCTTCAAACACACGACAGCTCTCTGGGAAGCAGCCATGCGTGACCTCTTTTCTCTAACACAAATGTAATATTGTATGGAGCTCTTTCCCTGCAGGCACATTGCTGCCTTTCTTGTGGGCGTTTGCGTTTTGCTGCCCCGCACCCACACAAGCTAGCGGCTTCACAATCAGCCGCTCCCCGCAGGCCCGACAGCTTTACTCCTTATTCAATACAAAATCCAGACCAGACGCACAGACCTGATTGATTGAATGCTTTAAAGACAAAACCAGCCAAAGAAATCAGGAGGAAAAAACCCAGAGGCATTGGTTTCGGCTAAAAACGTCCATGGTTTTTCCATTTTTGCCCATTTCAACTAGATATCAGCACAAATTTGGCCATTTTGCCACGTGTATATTCTTTAAAAAGTTGCCCACGAAAAGTTACTCAAACAGGTGAAATCTGATCCTTTTTGGGGTCTACTTTCTGTTGTGGATCAATAAAAGGATCACGACTCAGTTGCGAGCACTTCCTTAAATGGGAAATTCAGATAGGCCTTAGGAGCTTTGAGTGTGTTTGGTTTTTAAGTCTACCGGATGTAAAAACTATGCAGACTCAATATAATTGTGCTGGAGCTCAGTTTCCAAATGAAAAAGCATATTTGTCTGTGCTTTCCTCTGGTATTGCAGAAATCTCACTGGTGAGAGCAGAGACTTGGAAACACTCCCAGGGGTCATGGTCAGGGTTACCTAGGGTTACCTAGCCCTAACCCAGTCATGGGAACAAATTAAATTATCCCTAAAATCATCCCAGAGAGCACTTTAGGCTTAAAAAGATCTTAAAATTCTGAGCCGAACAGACAAACACAAATACATAAATATTTGATAGTTTCTGCTTTTTCAGCAGGGAGTTTATTTACAAAAACAGGTTTGTAGATGCTCTTATTCTATTTGTTCTAAAAAACAAACATATTTCATTTGATTTTGGAGCCACACTGATTTTCATTATCTTGTGACAACTAAATTCAATATCTCAGCAAGCTCAGCTCTCATATCGCAGCTTCTCCACACACAGGAGAAGTTTCCCCTCTTGTTTTTGGAGTTTTTTTCTCTCCTTGTCTGCAGTGTGCATCCATTATCGGCCCCATCTCTGTCTATGAAACATTGATGCCTCGTGTTTCTGCCCGGCCGCGATGAACGCTGCACAAAACTAATATCAAACAAGGGCTGAATTTTTCAGCAGGGCAAAGGAGCAGGGCTTTTCTGCCATTCAGACAGCTCCTCACACCCAGCTTCTTCCCAAAAAAGAGGCCTTTTCCACAAAATGAAATGAAACTCATCATAGCCATAAACAGCTCCATCTCTGGTTGGTCAGTTTTGAGTAAAACAGGAAAAACTCCCTGTTATCATGTTGGTTTTTCTTCAGTAAAAAACAGAAACTCCCCCATCTGAAACAGATGGACCCCCTCCTTGGTTCTGGTTCTGGAGTTTTCCGGCTGTTAAAAGGGAGTTTTTTCTTCCCACAGCCTCCTCATGCATGTAGCATATTTAGAGCAATCTACTAGTTTTATTGGCCAGGAAACCTTTCTTCAATTAGCTCTGAATTAATCAGATCAATTTGGGATTTAATGAACTGGAATTGATTGGATTATTTTGGACTTTGAAGTTCTTGGAGACGACATTTGCTGTACTGAACTTAAACACTGTGAAAAAAAGAGTTCTGCTGGTTTTCCTCCAGAATGAGGCTTCATTTCCTGGAAATGAGCTCTGTTCCAGCATCCATTCCAGAAATGAAGGGAAACTTTGTGCTGATGTGCTGAAACCATTCGACTAAAAACTGGAACTCAGAGCTGTGGGATCATTTTAGACTTTCAGTTTTAGAAAACAGTCACTTTGAGCTGCACTATTTGCTGCCATTCAAAACCCCTGAAATGCTTTCAGATCAGCATCCTAATCCACTCTGACATGTAGCAGTCAGTGTTTTTTCCATCTACCTGTGAGCCTCTGATCAGAACCAGAGAGGAAACGACTCACACTCTCTGCTTTTTTCCTCCAGAATCAGCTCCGATTTGCACTAAATGAGCTCTATTCCGGCACATATTACAGAGACGATAGGGAAATATATGTTAATGTGTTGGAAACAAGTTCGCTAAGAAGCAGAAAATAAAACATTTGGGGATCATTTGAAACTTTTTGCTTTATGAGCAAAATAAACCCCAGGAGGGCCAAAACTGGGCAGTAAATGTATTTTATCATAGAATTGATTTATAGTTTTATTTTCTCTAAATAGCTTAAGTATGCATGAGTGTGGTGATTTATAAGATTCATCCACGTCTGGGGGGCTGGAATTTCTTCCACTTGTAATTTTAGGGTAACAGGCTGGAAGGTTTTGAACCCCTGAGCTTTACACCCATCCATCCATTATCGGAACCGCTTATTCCCTAATGGGGTCGCATGGGGACTGGAGCCTATCCTGGTAATCAATGGGTGAGAGGTGGGGTCAACCTGGACGGTTCCCTGCCCATCACAGGGCCACACAGAGTGTCCAATCAACCTAACATGCATTCTTTTGGACTGTGGGAGGAAGAGAACCCACGCAGACACAGGGAGAACATGCAGACTCCCGCAGAAAGGTCCTGGTTCCCCCGGGATTCGAACCCACCACCTTCTAGCTGTGAGGTGATGGTGCTAACCACCACATTACAGTGCTGCCCCTGTTGGGAGTCACGGACAATATTAAGAAGAACAGAGTGTTAATTGGCTATTTTGAGCTCCTTTAGCGTCTTTACGTGTCGTAAGCAGTGACGACCGGAGTGCAGATGTGGAAACAGCGGGATCTGGAAGCCCGAACCGATCAGCGTTCCCCCCAAAACTCTAACATCATGGACGTTTTGTTGATCGGACGGAGGGAAACGCGGGGCACTCACCTTCATGTGTCGTCGCCTCCGTCTGAAGCGCAGCAGCTCCTTGTGTTGGCGGGCGATGAAGTTGACGGCGGCGTACTCCAGCAGGGCCGAGAACACGAACAGCAGGCAGACGGCCATCCAGATGTCGATGGCTTTCACGTAGGACACCTGCAGGGAGGGAGCGGATGGGGCCGTGGTCACATCGGGGGAGGGAAGGCCTTCAGTCAAAGACAAATGTTAAGCTACGATGTCACCCCTTAGAGGTTTGGACCACAAACGTAACAGTAGAATAAATCTGCCCTCCATCGTCTCCAAAGAGCTCACAGCTGGATGCTTCCCAGCTGTGCTCTCAGGTTGCATGGTTCTGGTTTTGCTTCTTGTTCTGGTTCTTGAGTTTTTAAAGCAGAACGGGAGGCAGAACCTTCAGGTATCAGATCCCCCCCCCTCTTAGGAACCAGTCTGGGTTCAGGCAGCAGACCCCCTTCTAGACCAGGCTGATGAAGCCGATAGTTGGAGATATTCAGGGCTCCCATGATGCACCTCTCCTCCCTCTGCTGCTATAGGCCCAATATAAGTATCATCAATTTATCCTTTCTCTCTGGTAACTTTCCACCAGTGCATATTTTAAAGGTTCTTTTTCTTTTTCATGAGGCTCTTTCCTCTTTCAAGGTCTCAGAGAAGGTCTCCTTATATTTGATCTCTTAATGTTTTGGTTTGAGGACTGTTTAGTACAGATGCAGGTTCCTCTGTGATGGGAGACAGACTTTACTCCTAATCCCAGACCCAGAGGGGTATAAAATGCACTATGATTTACTTTACTTTAGAGCATTTAGTGCCCCATATGGACCACTTGTATGATGGTGCTGGTCACTTTCAATTCATTTCCTTTTTAAGACATTTCTATTTCTTACTTCCTCAGAGGGATTCAGAATCAGACTTTTGCTTCAGAATACAATGTCCTCTCTGTGTTTTACTCCTCACTCACAGCTTCACGCTGAAACCCAGAGCCACGATCAGGGTCTCACGTTCACAATGGCGTTAGAAACAACACAATCTGCGCGTAAATGTCAACAGCTTTTACACCTAGCGACTTAAGCGTGAAATGAGGAGGACGGGGGGGAGGGCAGCTCCTGTTAACAGGCTGGAGCGCAGTCAGCGGGGATCATTGTCTGATTGCTATCTGCCCACCGAGTCCTCCAACTTGAGTCCACTCAGCCAGCCCGTCATTACCGCTCTCCACCTCCACTCGAATCACCCCGTTCGGCCTGAGAGGGAGATCCCTCCTCCGTCGCACACGTGGAGAAGACCCACAGCGAGCCGTTTAACATCCAATTAAACCACGGCTTCCCATCTTTTATACAAACACCTGGCGCAGGGGGTCAGCCTGGCTCGGAAAACATTTATCTTCCTCCTCTGAGCCCAGCTTTAAGCTTCTGGTGGCAGCAGTTAGCTTCAGTTCCTTTAAATGTTTCAATTTAAATGGTTTCGAATGCAAAACAATTCTTGGAAGACAATCCAATAAAATCAATTAGATTCAAATATCTTCCTCTATTATCAATCTAACATATTAATCATATATTACATATAACAATTGATTTATTGTTGTTTTCCTTTTTGGTTTGTACCCCGAAGTAATCAAATGCAGATATAATATCTATTGTGTCATATCTAATCTTTTTCTTGGCTTTTATGGCATCTCATTTTCATATTTATTTAATTAGTTTTGTCTAGACAGCATTTGTGATTTTCCTTCATTTTCCTCCCTGTTCTTTCAAATATAACAACAGAGCATATCAAAGCAACATATTGATAGATTGATTCTTATCTTTACTAATTAACTATTTCACTTTTCTTGCTGAACAATAATCTATAAGCGTATTCTGATGTTATCTAATACAAATATAGTATTTATTGTGTCTTATTTAATCTTTTTATTTACTACTATGGCACCACATTTTCATACTGATTTGATTTGTTTTGTGTAAACATAATTTTGATCTCTTTTGGATGACTTCAAGTCCACCTGAAAATAGTTTGTTTTCTTCCAAGTTGAATCATGCTACCCATTAAAATAGAACATTTAATGTATTTCTTCTTATTGTTTACAACAGGGGTTTCTTTTTTTTTTTTGAAAAAGAGTTTACTTTAATGACAGTAAACGCAAATAGAGTATGGAAAAAATGTATGTTTTGTGTGTTTTTTCTGTCTGGATGAGACGAAAAAAAGGATAATTCAATCAATAAAACCCAATTTCACTGAATACGTCACTTATTGATATTTGAGGAGACAAAACACGGATTCAGAGGCGAAAATGGAAGACAATTTCAAATCCCTCCAATGACTCCCAGTCAGGACGGATGGCTGAGAGGAGTCAGGCTTTTCTCCTCTCATCTCACCCCGTGTGGCGATAAGTGGAGGTGTGTGTGTCTGCCATCAATCAGGCAGATCTGTGAGTGTGTGTGTGGCTCAGCTGCTCGCTGTGATCATCGCCGCCACATCTGAGCTGGAGAGGAATCACGGTTGACTTGCTGGGGGTTTTTGGAGCGCACAGATAGCCGAGTGCGTGGATCCGGGCTTCCGCCGCACGCAAACCCGTGCAGACCGGGGCCCCGCCCCTTTAAATCTGCAGATCCCCAGCAGTAAAGAGGCCTTTCCCCTTCACCCTCTGCTCTCCCCTTAAATAATCCACATGTCTCTACATTTAGGAGCAGGCTGAAGACTTTCCTCTATGATAGAGCTTATAGTTAGGGTGAGTCCACCCCTAGTTATGCCGCTATAGGCCTAGACTGCTGGGGGATTTCCCATGATGTCCTCACTCTTCCCATGATGTCCTCACTCTCTCACCCCCAGCTGGCTGAGGTAGATGCCCCCAGCCCCACCCTGAGCCATGGTTCTGCTTCAGGTTTCTGCCTCCTAAAGGAAGTTTTTCCTTGCCTGTGTCGCCTAGTGCTTGTTCTTGGTGGGAATTGTTGTGGAAAGCCGGGAGATAACTGTTGTTGGGGCCTAGACTGCCGGGGGATTTCCCATGATGTCCTCACTTTTCCCATGATGTCCTCACTCTCTCACCCCCAACTGGCTGAGGTAGATGACCCCCCTCTACCCTGAACCATGGTTCTGCTTCAGGTTTCTGCCTCCTAAAGGAAGTTTTTCCTTGCCTGTGTCGCCTAGTGCTTGTCCTTGGTTAATAATTGTTGTTCTTCTGTAAATAACTTCAGAGTCCTGCTTTGTTTGGAAAGCTGGGAGATAACTGTTGATGGGATGTGGTGCTATAGAAATGAAATTGAATTGAATTGAATGTTTTTATGCCTCTAGCACCTTTCCCCCCCTTATCTAAACCCTCGTTACGTCCATGTGGTCGTAAGCGGCCATTCTAAACTCTAAGCTGTCCCGGGGTGTCCCGACCCGCTCAGGCTTTTGAGGCCTGGCCTGAGTGAGGTTTGAGGTGTGAGGTGTGAGGTGTGCGGGGTGCGGGCACCTTGGGCAGAGAGGCCCTGGAGCCGGAGCTCTGCGTGGTCATGGTCAGCACGGTGGTGATGCCCAGCCCCACCCGGGCCGGCGCCGCGTCCATGTTGATCCAGAAGGAGACCCAGGACAGGATGACGATGAGCAGCGAGGGGATGTACATCTGGATCAGGTAGTAGCCCATCTGACGCTCCAGGTGGAAGCGAGCCTCGATGCAGGTGAATTTACCTGAGGGGGGGGGGGGGCAGAGCCTCGTTAATGATGATTTATTCACTTATCATGGACTCAGTGGCTTATTATCTCTGTTTTGGACCTAATTAAGCTGTGGTGTGCCACACGTGAGAATGTGAAAGGTTCCTAAAAACTTTTGATGACGTACGAGCCTAAAAAAAGAAAGAAAACAAATAACATTTTCACGACTTTTAGGAGCACAACTTTAGAAATTCAGCGGCTCACGTCCACCGGCTGAAGCTTTAAAAGATCAAACACATGACAATAAATGAAGCTTATGTCCCAGAGACGTTTTCCGCTTTACCGCTTTGGTCCTAATTTAAAAAGAAAAGACGGAAAAAGCTCTTCTTATTCCTCTCCAGAAACTCTCAAATGCTTACATTTCCATATATTTCAACGAGAGATTTAAAGGGTTAGAAAAAGACGCGTTTCCAACCTAAAATATGACGTCCTCTATGTTTAATTATACCTCTAATTCACAATCTACCCACTTTTCACCAACAGCTGTACAGATATATGATAAAACATGAAAAGTAGGATTTTTTGGTTGTTTTTTTCCTGCCTAAATAACAACAATTTCTTTTTTAAAAGCATCATACCTTCCTCATCTCATCATTTGGCCGAACCGAGCCGGGCTTTTAAACCTCTGAACTGGGAGACATTTGTTTTGTGGTTGGCGCTTTACACCCAGCCAGTGCACGAGCTCGCAGCGTCCTCCGTAATGACTGTTTTTTTCGGGATTAACTTGCTGTCCTTGAGCCCGCAGTGCATTAGTCAGTCATTTATCTCATTCTGCAGCCTCTCTATGGGGGAAATACACTCAGACTGAAAGTTAACGATGGGGAAACTTTACCAACATCCTCTGATGTGTAAGACAATTTAGGGCATTCAGATCCATTTTTTACAGGAATTAGCACTTGACTATGAATTATGGCATCCAAAGAAATCGAAATCAAAATAAAACGTTTGCAGGAGCTTAAATCTGACCCACATCGCGAAGGAGACAAATCTGAAACATGAACGTTTTGAGAAAAATAAATCTTTCCCAAAAAAGCAGTTTGGGCTAAAAACAGAGCGAATATAAAAAAATGAAAGGGAGGAAAGCCGAAGAGGGCAAAACACAGGAAATCACAGTCGGGCTGGTTTCTGAGTGTCAGTAAAGCCAAACATGTTTGATGTTTCCAGACTGAAACAGGAGGAAGAAATCATCTGCTGCCCCCCCAGAAAACAGGAAGTATGAATGTTTCATGATGTTTTAAAGGGTAACAATTACATAACGCAGCCCAAATAATGTCGTTTCGATCATTTACCTAACCGACTGTGACAGAGACACAAGAGCAAACAAACAACAACTTTACCGCGTTAAAACTGTGGGAGTTGAACTATTTTTGAACTTTCTTCTGTATTTTTTATCTATCTATCTATCTATCTATCTATCTATCTATCTATCTATCTATCTATCTATCTATCTATCTATCTATCTATCTATCTATCTATCTAAATATGGAAAACATGTAAATAATATTTACATTTAAAAGGATTAAATAGATAGAAATAAATATAATAATCAAAAATGAAATGGGGAGTAAATATTTTGAAAAATTGGAAAACTGTCAAATTAAATATAATAAACATGAATGGATTAAAAAACAAACATCTATCTACCTATCTATCTGATGAAAAACATGTATGTAATATTTATATTTAAATGGATGAAATAGCTCGAAATAAAAACATTAATGAAAAATTAAATGGGGAAAAATTAAGAATATCAGTTGTAAAATAAGTTATTAAAAAACTAAGAAATGTACATAAATAGTTACAAACTGAAAATAAAGAGATAGAAAACCAAAAAATGAATGTAAATATTTAGAAAAAATAGCAAAAAAATCTATGTTTGTTAAAACTGTCAAATTAAATATAAAAACATTAGAATAAACGTGAATAGATTAAGAAAAAAAACAGATAAATGTAATCGTGTGTATTGGTATTGGTCTGCCTGTCAGGCTGCTGGAGGCTGAGCCTTTGGGGGGGGGGGGGGGTTTTGAAAATACGCATTAAAACAATGGCTGAGGACTAAAAAATAGTTTTTTCTTCCTTTATGTGACTTAGATGTGACTACACAGCTTTATTCTCTTTGGATCTCTTTGGAAGGCTTTGTAAAGGCTAGGATAGAAATTTGGCTGGATGAGGATTAAACCCCCTAAAAGGATCTGAAGTTCCCCTAAAAAAAAAAAAATTAAAGAAGAAATGTTCCTTTTAGAGGTGTATTGTTTGAAAAATCCATGTATGGAGGCTGTGGAGTCGATACTGAGTCAAAAAGAGCTCTGAGATTTGTCTGATTTTGGGACACAATGGGAAGAATGATTACATCTTTACATTGTTTTCCTTTTTTCAGGAACAAAACGATTTATAATTTCTACTTTTTTCCAGAAGCTGAGGTCAGGTTTAAATAAAATTACACCTCAGTTCTGAGTGTAAAAAGTTTGGAAATCCAACAGATTTATTCAGAAGCTGCAGTGAAAGTCTAAAATATTCAGAAAACACCAATAAACCTACGAGTAACACTGACATTGATCTGATCTATACCATTCCTGAAAATGACAGGAATTCTGTGAAAGTTCAGCTTCAAAATGGGCAGAAGAAAAATAATTTGGGCTCAGAAAGAGCTCACAGGGGTTCAATCTGGACGTTTTAGGGAAAAGAGCCATATTATACGTATCCAGACCTGAACAGATCTGCTGTCATTCAGTGCTAACAGGTGCTTTTTTTAAAGCAGCACAGAGTTATTTCAAAGTGGAATTATTAGTTCTGCTATCAAATATTCAGCAGGTTTTTGTTGGAGCTGCTCACTGGAGTTTTCCCCAAGCACGTCTGAGGGCTTTAAAGGAGCAGAACCGGGTTTTTAGAGGAGATAAATGCTGTTTTAACTGGCTTTAAGACTGGATCCAGAGGGGCTGAGCCTCTCTGTTATTTAGACACAGAGAAAGCAAATGGCTGCACATCCAGCTTTGGGATCATTTTGTTTGTGAAATCTGATTAAATCGGAAAAAAACAGAGCAAATGTGCCTTATTTACAGTTTTTCTAGCAGCAGTAAAAATAGTCTCTTGGTCTCTGTGTGATGTCACCGGCACAACGGGTCTTAAAAAGCAAGAAAAGTAAGATGGCCGGCCATCCATTTAATCAAAGGCGA